TTTTTTTTCCTTTTGCGGTGTAACTTAATATATGGGATCAATGGGCGGAAAGATTACTGATAAGACTAGATAAATGTATACATTAAAATTAATAAAATTGAAAAGCGTGAACATTCGCTTATTTTAAAGACTTGATATTTGTCGGGACAAGTATCTATAGTTTTAAAATTATTTGCAGGAAATATTTATGAAAAGAATTTATGTTAAAGAAACCTCCAAGGGTGAGAAATGTAAACAATTAAGCAAAAGCAATCGACAGGTAAAGAAAGCAAGATAAATGTCACTCAAAATCTAACAAACATCAAAAGCAAGCTTCATGAAAGAACGGAATTTACCCTATAGGCCATCTTTATCATATCGTTACATTTCTTAAAGTACTTGCTTATGTTCATGCCGTATTTAGCTTATCGCTTTTTGAAGTTGCACATAATCGTTTATCGCAATAAAATATTCGCAAGTTCATATGAGAAATGTATACGTGAAATTATCGAACGAATGTCAAGATACTGCAAAGGATCCAAAAGAGATATTCATTGAACTCTACTTAAATTCTCGATAACGAACCACAATAACTTAACAATTTTTGCTAAACCTAATAAAATTAATTATTTGACAAATGTCAATTGATTTTTATCTTTTTTCGGAAACATGTGCCGATCCTTCTAAAACCCCCCACGAGTCTAACTACACACCTTTTCCGGAATATAGAATCTCTCTTTTGCGTAAACAAAGTTATAATAAAATCCTGTTTTATCTAAAAAAAGATCGCACGTCATTATAACTTTACCTTGTTTGTTTTATGCAAGATCTAATTTCCACTTTTTACAAGTATTTTTTTTTTTTTTTCTTTTTGTCGAATCGCAAAGTTACCGGGAAATTTGAGAAATTACCTATTTTGATAAAGTTTTTTTTGGTTTATTATCGCCCAATTAAAACAGTGTGTTTGATCTGATTCGTACAAAAGTGCGATTTTACTCGAATTAACCAAAATCAAACATGATTTACAGGGATCCAAATTTGCCCGTGGCAAACAAATGCGTTTTGCACATCATTTCTAACTATATAAAGGCATTTTTTCTTATCAAACATACTTGTTTCCAAAAAAAAAAAAATGTAAATAATACACTACATACGAGATTGTACAATGATTTATTCTCTATCTTTTAACACAATTTTCCCGTGTATTTCCGAAATATTTGGTAATAATTCTTTTTCTAATTCTCACGCAAAAAGTTTAATTATTTGAGATTATAGTTGAAGATTACGAATAGTAAATAAGCGAGCTTGGAACCGATAATATTTCATGGACATTTATTAAAAGAGCTAATTTCTTTCGAACCACTTTCATAAAGTCATGACATAAACTGGAAGTTACCATAGCGCAGCTATACAGAATATGTGGAATATGTGGGAAGACGGATTTTGCCGAATAGATTTGATCCTACGTTCAAAAGAATATGAATTTCCTACTTTAGTAATTATTCCTAAATTCTCATTCCATAAAAAAAATGTAGATTAGGTAACACTACATTTGTCTATTTAGTATTTAAATAGTAAAGAATTATTCAAATTCCAAGAAAGGTAATAAAATACTAAACCCCAAAAACTCAAAATCTAGCCAGAATTATTTTCTTTGTCTAAAATTTCGGATTTGTCCGCTTGATACGAAAGATTTTTTATTTTTTGCCCACATGAAAAAATTGTATTCATTGATTGATGAACCGAGAGAATTCCCCGAGTAAAGATTATTTACAAACAGAAATTTTTTTTTTTTAATTAATCTGATCATCAGATTTTTATAGTACTCCATATTATTTTTGTGTCACTGAGATAAGAAATATTTCCTGAAAAAGAAATTGTAAAACAAGTGGAAAAAAAAAAAAAGAGAGAAATGAATAGATTTACCCCTCATGAAATCGTTGATACCTGCTTGGGAATTTAAAACATTCTTTATTAATCTCACGTGTGATCGTAATATCCCGATTGCGTTACTTCATTGTTTCGTTTAAAAGTTATATATATTCTAGAAGCTTAAAGTTTAACGATTCATCCAAAAAGGTAAATGTTCACACCCTTGCCATCTTCACGTCAAAAAGATAATCAAATGACCTTTTATCAAAATTTAAAAATTATCTTTTTCCAATATTTCGGTAAATATGTTAAGCGTGAGCGATTAATGATCTCAAGAATTGAAAATCCCAGCAATGAACATAAAGAGGTTTCATTTGTTACGGAAATTACGGAAATAAAAAATTTTGTTCAAGTCTTATTGTAATTTGTAATATTCATAATAAGTATAAGTTGTTTGATTTAATCTTTTATTAAATATTCGAATTGCAGATTTTTCAATTGTCCAATCATATTGCGTTTACTTATCTTTGCTGATTGATTATTTTTTCATATTCCCATGATCGACGCGCATTATCGCGCGTAAATTTTTTTATTAAATTTGATCTTTTGACGTTATCGTTATCTTTTTTTGTAACTTTCCAACCTAATATATCTCAACCCCATAAGGTACAACTTAAATTGAATTACACAATTTTCATGGCTCGAGTTTTCTTTGTCATTTCATGATACACAACAAAAATTAAACGCTATTATTTTTTCCTGAAAGAAATCACGTATGCACTATGAATGAATTTATTTGTGTAAATGGAACGGATACTGCCGAACATGTTCCCACGTTTTTCGATATTCTGATCGAGACTATGGCGTGAATCATATGAAAAGATTCGTAATGATTTGGATTTCATTTTCATGGAGAATTCTCCCGAGAGATATCGGGTTCCCTTGCCGAAAACCGAGAGATGTCCGTAGATATACGCGGTTACGCGGTTCGTGTTAGGTAAAGTCAGGCAAGTCAGACAATTCGAAAAAGAGAACGCGAGATGATCATCAATCACTTTCGTAAACCAAATTCTCCTATACAATGCAATGAAATGTTGTGTTCGGTTTAAACGTGCAGATGATTACTCATGAATGAACCTGCGCGATGTTTATATACCGAGACCCAAAAAAAGAAATCAAATCGGAATTTCTGTACGCCATTGTTATAGTTAGTAGATATCCTTATTAGAATTTGGTCATGTCTATCATATTTAACTATTTTCCGGTACCAAAAGAGTAATCGGTCATACAAATCACAATTATATCATCCGCGTTATCAGCGTTTCACCAACGATAACAATTTTCCCGCAGTCAATCGAGATTTAAAACGAGCTGATGAGGAACACGTGAAAATTAATAATTCGATAATTCCCCGAAGAGAAATATCCGATAATGGATTTAGTCCTAATAATGAAATTGTGCGCTAATGCAATATAAACAAGAGAAAAGAAAACGGACGAGAAAGGAAATTTCATTAATTCAATTTTTCTTGCTCAGCTCGTATTGCTCAACTCGCTGATTACTCGGAGAAAATCTGCAATTGTTTATCATTTCATCATATCTTTAAGACCGTTTAGGAAAAATTAATTAACTTTTGCTGCAAAGCATGACGCCAATTAATGTAATTGAAAATTTTTATTATTTTGAATGCAAATAAAAACACGAAATCTCATAATTTATGCTGTGTTTAATTTTTTTTTTTCGTGGTAAAAAAATAATTAAAATCGAAATTTATTTTGTACAAATATTTGTATATTTCACGATTTTTTTTTTTTTTACAAATATTTGTCATTTATTTAATATTTCATGATTTTTAAGATCTTTTTTTTTTTTTTTCGTGTTGGGAAATTTAGGCCTTTGGAAGATTTTTGGATGACTAAACTAAATTATCGGCATTAAAGTTTACACGAAAGTAAATTTTTTTTATTAACGCGAATCATGCCATTTTTTTTTTTCTCACGCTAATAAATCTTTTATTGAAATGGTATTATTGATAAATTATTTGTTTATTAAGCATGAAATCCTTCACGAATGATAACGAGTACTTTCTGAATTTTCTGAAACAATATTTCTTTAATGATGTTTAACCTCTACACCTATTGAATTCTCGAAGATTGATTCAAATTTTTTTTTTTTTCAAGAATTACGATTCGTAAAATACAAAATTTGTCAAGAGTAATACAAATTTTGCATGTCAATAATAATTTTAAATACAATTAAAATAGTTTTATGCTGTAAATATAAATAAAGTAAAAACAAAAGAAAGAAAACTCATTTTAATTTTGTAAATACTGGATAAAAACCCCGACAAAATGTCACGTCCGGAATTACTGTTGAATGCGGCTTTATTGATATAGAAAATGAATGACGATTTGGTGATACAGATTTGTTTTATTTACAAAGTATCGTGTTTGTTCTATACTCATGCAAGGGATTACAGTTCTATTTCGTTTGTCTAACACAATATAATAGCATGATTCAACTCCCCGTGATCATTATCTGGTCATGAACTGATGGGTGGAGGGGTCGCGGCCTAGATCAATGTTCACAAATTATTTAATGTTATCCCCGGAACTTTATGTTGCTTGTTTCTAACTTTCTCGAAAATTCGGAACAAAAAGTTACTTAATATCTTGTAAGTCCAGAAGTTGTTTCATTGCAAAATGTACATTATTTGCATAACATTTAATGGATAACCTGCTAAGATTTTGTTGGAGAGATTATTTTAGTACTTAATAAGTTTTATTTAATAATTACAAATTTGAATGAAAATAATTACAGGGCCCCTGAATATGATCATTAGAACCTCGTTGTACGGATTTGAAAATTTTGAAAAAAGTTCGACGATTCTTATTGTACGATTATGGAAATTTGGCTGAAGTTTGGAGTACAGATTTCAGCCAATGAATGTTTACTTCCGCTGTACGGATTTACAATAAATATTAACTTACGCGTACAAAACTTAGAAACTAATATTACTTCCTCGTACAAGTTTATCCAATTTTAAAGGTCCGATGTACATATTGAGAATATTTGTTGTATAAAGATTTGAATTTATACAAACATAATCACCACCTTGTGATTTTTTTAATTTTTTTTCTGTAATAATTATGAATTCCGGCGAAATTAGTAATAGTTTAAACTTGTCCAAAAATACATTAAAACAAAAAAAAACTTGATAATTTTGGAATAACAGGTAATTTAGTTCAAGGGAAAGGTAAAGGAAAAAACATTGCTTATGCAGAAGAAACTCAGAGTGAAAATATTTCAACTAAAAGAAAAAATGATGAAAATATAAAATCCACGATAACGGCTACTCTTCAGGAGCTCAAAGGCTTATCAGGACAAGCTTTATTAAGAAAGATTTTAGAGAACAAATCGTATACTTTATATGATGATAATAAATATGTTTATTGTCAAAGTTGTCAAAAACCAATAACACTACATCGTTCAAATGATGGAGCTAGATTAAAAGAACATACTGTATCATTACTCCAATGCATATTGGAAAATTCTAGAAAAGCAGATCAAAAAGGATGTGCTCCACTTTTTTGACATCCTTTTTTGATCGAACAAAGGATAATCATAACGCGTCAGTAATAGATAATGACTTTATTGATTTGACTGAATCAGTTGATGATAATGAAGAAGTATCACAAATAAATCAAAATCAAAAACCCTCAGAAGTGACATCTAAGGATTCAAAAAAATATGTTAAAGTATTCTATCTTGTTTATTTAGCAATCGAAATTATTGTGTAAACAAATAATCTTGTATTTTATCATATTTATAATGTAGTTTGTAATGGATTTTTCAGGTCTGAATATAATATCTTTGTAAAATATGGTACTTTCATTATTAATCAAAAGATCAAAGTTCAATATATAATTTTTCGAAATGATGATTTATATGATGAGTTGAATCACGTAGGAGGCTATTTTAAGAGTATAAAATGCCTTGAATATTATTCTAAAAAATGGTGTTACAATTGTGACCTTTTAGCAAAAAATGAAGCATTTAATAAAAGAAATCAAGAATATCAAGAATTGGTTGCTCAAATTGATTGTGTTATGATTTTATGTGTAAATAAAGAATTGCCTGATTTAATTCATCATAAATATAGCCAGATACCTAATTTCAACAAATGAATCAATAATTTTTTCAATGAATTTAATGCATATACAAAAAAGCAAGAAAACTGTTCAAAAATGTTTTGCTCTGATAATCTTAATAGTTTACTTAATTACTATAAAAAAAGAGATTCAGGATTCTAAATATCAACATCTTGTTAAGGATTATCCAAGATTAGGAAATCTTTTAGAAGAAATAGAAGAACATGGAATCAAAAATTAGATGATAGATTATATTCAATATATGGTAAATAAAACTATGAAAGAAAAACAACCAATATTTATCAGAGTAGCCCAATCAGTTACAAAAGTTCTAGATAAAATAAAACGTAATATTACTATAATGCATAGAATTTAATATAATGAAACTTTTGTTGATTTTCTTGTAATATTTATTTCAATCAGTACTCTTACTGTAAGATGGATTACACTAAATTTTGCTAGACTAACAATAAGATTTCTTTAGCATTTATGAAATAAAAGTAATGATTCTTTTGACTTTTTAGGAATTAATATTTCAAATTTTAATGAATTAATTAGCAAATGGTAAAATACATATAATTATTTGAGACTAACTATATGTGTAAAAGATCAAACTAAAATTGCTGAAATAATCGAAGTGGATCACTGTCATTTTCAATTTATTGGATGTGTACAAATGCAATAAGCTTCTATTCTTCAAGTAATGATACTTGATGAACTTCAATAAAAGTTAATGTATCTTAAAAAAGTAACTTATATCACAGTTTTTGTGATTTTTACAGTTATATTTGGAATTTCACCTCTTGTAATTACAGTACTTCCATCAGATCAAAAAGAAACCTTAGCGGTTGTATTTCAAGAAAATAATTTAATAGTCAAATATCTTAATCATGCTAAGGCAAAATTAATTAGGTTGTATTTTAATGATGCATCCCATTATTGAAATTGATTAGGCAGAACATATAAACCTAATTCTGAACTTCAAATTGAATTAGAATTAACCAAGATATTATTAAAAAATTATTATTTATATTAAGGTTAAGAATTATATTCAAAATTATCTTTACTATTTAATAAGAAATCAGGATCAATTATAGCTGAAAATTTTTCACTTAACTTCATTTACTTGAAGGTAAATCACCGCTTCTAAGTGGAACAGATTTTTATCATTGTATAAAAAAAGATTTGTTAGTTTTAATTATAAAAATATTTTAAATTAAATATATAATAAATTTATTTAATACTTTCTTTACTTAGGATGTAATATGCATAATTCTGATACACAGGTCATGCCAATTGGCAACTATGTAATGTTAACAGAACATTTTGGAAACTTTATAATATGTATGAAGAAAAATCTGAATTAACTACAGATGTATTAAATTCTAAGGATAAGCAATCTGATAAACTTGCTGAATGATTTTATTCATCATGTGTTTTAAAATGTAAAGTTTATTAACTATATAAAACTTTTTATTTTTATTTATTATTAATATTAATTATTTTAATTTAAACTAACAATTTTCGAACATGCTGAAAAGTATAATAATGATACTTTTTATGAAGATGCAGCTTATCATTTTTTTTTTCAGGAATGCTATTAGAAGCATAGAAGTCTAAAACTATATCTCATATTGATCGAGTAGCTTATACTTGAGCAGGAACTATATTTTTTGCAGCTACCTAAAAATATATTAAAAATAATCCAGCTCAACGTAATTCAAGAAAATATGGCATTTCATGGCAAACTAAAGATAATTTTCTTTATCTTGGATATACATTAATTCTATTAATTAATTATTTTCCATTGATGTATAATGGAACTCCTTTATGTTCTTGATTAATTTCTACAGCATTTTTGGAACATATTTTTGAATATACACGTCGATTAATTGAAGATTTTACATTATTAGATTTTTTAATGATGAATGAAAAGATCATTAAAAATATTGATATTAAAATGAAAGGTAAGTAATTATATCAAAACTTAAATTAAAAAGAATACTCATTTTTTTATTGTATTAAGATCTATTAAATGTCCTAATAATAATAATGATTATAATATACGTCTTGGTTTAGTTAAAGAGTCTTTAAATTTTAGATTAGTATTATTTCTGACTAAACTTGAATTAGAAGTATAAATAATTGATTATTTTTCCTAAATATTCACATTTTTTTATATTAAAAAATAATAATTTAATATACTATATTTCTTTTAGGTTTTGAAGGTTATATATGAAATTTTAAAATCATTTAGCATAGATTTTCCATCAAATGAATATGTACAAATTATTCAAGAATGCTTTAATAATCAATATAATTCTGTATACTTTGATACTAATAGTTTAGAAGATGATTCAATTCATGATACAATCAACTCTTGTTATAACGAACTCTATGTCCTAGACCTCAACTTCGCTATAAGGCTATAGTGAAGAGTTTAAGAGATTTGATTGGCTAATTCGCTATAACAAGAGTATTTTTATTATATTTGTTCAAAAAGTTCGTTATATCAAGAGTTCACTATATCAAGAGTTGACTGTATTATTAAATCAACAATAGCAATTGAATAATTACTTCTTATACATCAATAAAAACTTGTAATATGTCAAAACTTACTTAACAAATATGATTTCACTATCTTTAACATTGACATAATGAATAATTTATATAATGATGAAATGTTTTATAATTTTAATAGCTGCTAATATCTATTTTTTGAATTAATTAATCATTAGCTACGATTAAAAACTTTGAATCCTATTAAAGTTATAAAAGAAATAGCACAATATAGAGGTTAATATTTAAAAAATTACCTTGTCTTTTAATAATTATATTATGTTAATTAATTTTATTTTTTTTAATTAAGCTAATTTTGATGAGTATATCCTTAAAGAAATACGAAAATTTAATTCATTATCACAAAAATCTCAAAGTTTTAAGTTAATATACCAGATAGATCTTTTAATTTAGAAGTAGCTTTACAATTTAAATGAATGAATGCTGCGGAGAAATCTACATTCTGAACTAAAGACCAGCTTGCCCAATGGACAAATGTATATCGAAAAATATTTAGTGTTACAAGACTTGATCCTAAAAATGCATAATATGCAGCTGGTAATTTTTATCTTTACGTTTATAATGGTGAACATATTTATATAACAGAAATTCTTGCAGTATTTAAGGTAATTAATTTTTAGTTTTTAAATGAAATTTATAAGAGTAAACTGAGTGATTTTAATATAATATTTATAGAAACGTGATACATCATACCTTCGAGCTGAATTTTTGGATAGATTAAATACTAATCACATTCATATTATTTTATATAAGCAAGATATTTCAAATTTATATAAATTTCAACATATTTTAAATTTATCAAGAATTCAATTTGCACTTGAAGAGTATCCTTTTTGTTTCTTTAATCCTTTAAGTAATGTTGAAATTGGAAGTCAAAATGCATCATTTTTAAGAAAATATATTAGATTGACAATAATACAATTATAATTGTATCAAAAAGTAGTGGAGAAAATTGTTAATATAGAATCTGGAGTTTTAGAAGCTTGAAGCATTAATGAAAAAAAAGAGTAGGGATTCAAATGATTCATAATTTTTTTTTTGTTTTTACTTTATAAAGTTTCATATACAGAACCTGAATTTTTATATATTTAGTGTATAGAAATACAATTATTAATAAAAAGGTTCAATAGACAAATTAGTATAAAACTAATGTTTAATATACAGATTTGCAAAATTGGCTTGTACAGAAATGATTTTTGTCTGCGAAAGTTTTATTAATAAAATATATAATGTATTCAAAGACCCTATAATTATATGCAAAATGATCACATATAAGATCACGTAACCGTTTCCTAGTACTTAATTCATATTTTAAGTTAATTACCTTTTTTTTTCTTTAATTACTTAAATTTTAACATTATAAATTATAAAATTCATATAAAATTTTAAAATTTTGTAAAAATTCTAAATACTATTAAATAAAATAATAATAAATATTAATTAAAATTTAAAAGATTATTTATTAGATGTTGCTGTAAAAATTAATAAAGCTTTTGATATGAATGTTAGTTCAAAAGAAATTTAATATAATAATAATAATAAAATTGTAAGTAATTAATTAAATCTATAATAAAAAAATATAAATAAATTATATCATTATATATATAATTTGTATATATTTATTATTATTTAAATAAGTTTTATATAAAGTTTTTTAAATTCTATATTACATTTTTATTATAATTTATAAACAAATATTTTTTATCATTTTTTTTTCAAAAAATATATATAAGAAATTGTTAATTAATAATATATAATATTATTAACTAATTTACTTTATAATAATTACAATAAAGAAAAATAACAAGGTTTAGTAAATATTATTTCCAAAATTTCTTCTGACTTTATTCAGTATAAACTAACTAGAATTGTCATTTTTTCATCAAATAAAAATATGTCTATTAACCTAAATTGATTGATCTCAAATTACAGAATATTATTAATGAATAAAATTCTATTATTATTAACTAAAAAATAAATATAAGTTATAATAATGTAACTACAAATTCTTTCTAATTTTTCTTTTTATTAATTGTTTTCATTCCTTCTTCTTATTTAAATAGTCAATAATAAATTAAATAATATAATAATTAATAATAATAAAAATAATTTTAATTATATAAATAAAAACAATATTTTAAAAGAAATCTTTACAATTTCATTTATCATTTATAATATTTAATTTTTATAATGTAATTTAAAGAATCAACTTATTTATAATATATTTTTAGATTTTGATGAAGATTTTATAGGACTCACTAAAATAAGATATAAGTTTGATCAATTTTATAAAAAAAAATATGATTCTAAATTTATATCTTTCTAAAGCTTATGTATTAATATATATGCAGATATTAGTATTCTGACCAATTATTTATAAGTTATTTAAAAATTATTTTTAAATAATAATTATTTTATTTACATTAACCTATTTTTCACTAAAATATTTAATTAAG